CTCACCCAATAATTTTTCCCATCCTATTTAATTCATTTCTCTTTTCACTCTTATGCAACTTTTACATTGCAACATCAACTTAAAAGCTGCCATAAATTACCCTCAATGTTTCTATATTTTTATGTCCCATAACTTGCGTAGCTTATGGGCATGAACTCAAAGTCAAGTGGGAACTTACAGCACTAGAGTTCAGGACAGGTTAGCTTCATTTATCTCTGTGACAATTGAATGGATCTCTAGTACAGAGTGCGACCATTTTCCTATCTTTCAATTTCCATCTGTAGCAACGGATACCCCTAGCTATTTTTTTTTCTACACACCTCCAAAGCATACCATATATTTGGATTATTAGAGTTTACACTGTAAAAAAAGTATGAAATAGAATTTTTTTGCTGAAATGAATAAGAAAGAGACAGATCCTAAATATTGAAAGGAAGATATCACTGTAATTTACCATCCTTAGGTATCAAAAGTAGATTTTTTAACAGATAAAAATGGAGTGTTTTCATACATAATATGAATTGGATAAATATCAATATATTTCTTCCTGCTGAAACAGTAATTCCACTTCTGAATCTAAGGAAAAACAGGTAAGGGGGAAAATGAAGCACCAAGTAATTCATTGCAGCATTTTTATGATATAAGAACTACCCAACTGCTATATTACAAGTGAATGGTTAAGTAATAGCCAAATACATTCAATATGCCATTGTTCCTTTAAAATTACAGAAAAAAATATGTAAATTTTATGAAAAATGCTAAATATAATTGCTATTATATGAAAATAAGAATTATGCAAGGCAACAGTATTTACTAGTACAGTGATTGTGTTGGTGATAATATTATGAATAGTCTGCTTCTTCTACTTTCTCTCATTTCTGAGTTCTCTGTTACACAAATGCAAACCTTGGAGAAGGTTCAACAACTTAATGTAAATTAGTGCCATCCTGTAAGCTTAATTTAATTTATGTGACATAGAACAGCAGCCTGCCATCAGAGGGGAAATGTAATTATTGATATATGATACAGTAAATATAGCAAATGTTAGTAGGAGAATCTAGGTGGGGGAGGATACACTTATTCATTGTAAAATTTTTTCAACTTTTTAATAATATAATGTTGGGGTAAAACAAAATTATGCTCTGAGTTTGGGGTAATCACCTTGCAGATAAACTTTCTGAGCATCATTTCATTGTAAATTGAAGGCTGTTATGTACGCTCCACATTATTCACTTGCTATGCTTTCTCCTCTTGTATAATCTATGTAAGCAAAATAGTCAAATGTTAAGGGTTGTGCAAGTTTATGTGTAACATGTAATGGTTTTATTCTTGTACTTTTGGTCATTTTGACTCTAAGTTTGCTTCAGTAGGTGACAATAATATTTTATTACACTCTGCTTTAGTATCTTCTGTATTATTTGCCTTTAAAATTTTATTCACCTGTAGATTTAATATTTGAAGAGTTCATTTATAGAGAAGAAAAAGTAAATCTTTAGCAAACATTACTATGAATATATTTCATATATTATGTGTATTACATACAGATATACAAATTAAATATTAATAAGAAGATGGTAACTAGATGTTCTCCCTCTTCAGTGATGCTTTTGAATGAGTAGAAACTGGTAAACATATAAACATATAGCATAAAGAATTTCATTATGCCCTGGGATCTAATTTGGGAACAATACATATTTTAGTGAAATAATATGTGCTTGTGTGTGTATAAAATTGAATACAGAAATTCTGTATACACACACACACACACACACACACACACACACACACACACAATTGAATCTAGAAATTGATTGGCTTGAGAAATTCTATTTGGGAATGTTTGTGTGTTAAGTGAACACATTTAAATAGAGAATTTTTCTTTTTCTGAACTCATACAATGAGTGTAAAAGGATAAAGGCAGTAAACATTCAACATCCTGGTAGAAAAAGAAAAGATAAAAATATATATCATTTTTGGTGCACTTTTCCTTTTTATAATTTTAAATTATAGCTTTGTTGTTAAGCTCACAGATTAAAAAGATGAAATAGCTGGCTCTCAGCCAGGAGACAGAACTATGCAGAGACCTTTAGAGGAGTCTTTCTAAATTGGCATTGTGCTTTGGTGCTAGCCTTTAGAGAAATATTTTAAAGTTATAAATGTATTAGGATTTTGCTTTACTTGGTACAGTGATAAGGAAATAAACCAATGATATAAATTTATATTTCATCCTCTTAAATCTCGCTGTAGCTAGAGATTTCCTTTTGGCTCCTTGCTTATAAGCACATTAACTATCATTATGATAACATCCCTCCACTTACGAAAAATATTTTCTAACAGGGCCAATGATAAAGATGTTTTAAAAGATGAAAGTGTAATGCTAATCTATGTTATGTGAAAATATGCATTAGCATTACATGTGTCTATAAGTAACAGAAAATTTCACAAAGTCATAGCTTAAACAAGACAAATATATTTCTCTCTCACATGCAAGAAATCTAGAGGTCAGTTCAAACTTGTTTTGCTGTCCCAAAAGAAACACAAATTCCTTCTATCTGTTTTTTCCACTATGGCTTCCACTGTCAAGGTTAACTCTGCAAACCAAGATAGCTGCTAGAATTCTAGCCATTGTATCTGCATTCCAGGCATCAGTATGGAGGAAGGCACAGGGCATACCACTTTCCTTTAGATGCACTTCCTGAAATGTTCACAGGGCACTTCATCTTATATCTCGTTACCAAAACTTAGCCACATAGTCACACCTAATTTAAAAAGAGACTGAAATTGCCATCTTTGTTTTATTTGGCCATGCACTAAGCTAAAAAGCAGGGTTATCTTACTGTGGTAGACTGAATAATGCTCCCCCTTCCCCAAAGGTATTTATGTCTTAACTTCTATACCTATAAACATGCCACTTTACATGATAGGAGAGACTTTGCTCATGTAATGAAGTCAAGAAACTTGAAAGGAGATTACCCTGTGCTATCCAGGTGGGCCCATTGTAATCACAAGGGTCCTTATAAAAGCTTTGCAAGAAGTTCAAATAAGGAGATGGTTGCTAGAAGCATGGTTGGGATGAAGTGTTTGAAGATGGAAGGAGGGGTGAGGACCCAAAGAATGCAGGTAGACTCTGGAAGCTGGAAAACAAGACATTAAATCCCCCATGGAGCCCCCAGAAGGAACCAGTCCTACCAATACCTTACACCCCATAAGATTAATTTTGACTTCTAAACTCCAGAACGAATGAATTTGTGTTGAAAATGAATTTGTGTTATTTGAAGACAAGTTTGTGGTAACTGTTTTTGCAAGAGCAAAAGGAAACTATTGCACTAATTAAGGAAATATTAGGCCTATTAGTAGTTTGCTATATATTTTCTGTGATACCTCCATATGTTTGGTGCTCGAATGTCTCTGAATCCTTGTATATTTGAATTCAGCAGTCCTGTATCATTGGTAAATGAGTAAATGCTCTAATCTGGTAGCCTGAGTACTTAGATTTCGTTTAAGCACTTGGTAATTAATTAAGTACAGCAATTATGTAGCCACTATAAGTACTGTGGGTGAAAACCTCCCTCAGGCACTTTGTTGAGTACTTGAATTTACACTGTTCAGTCCCTGCATAGGCCAATCAAGTAGTGAGACCTAGAGGAGAGACCCAGGAGAGTGTGGCCAAGAACGACCAGGGAGGTAGCCTGCAGTGAGATGTGACGACTCTTTTAGTGACTGGTGGCCTGCTCCCCTCCCTCTCCTGTTGTCTAAATGTATCCTTGTTACCAGGGCCAACCACGGCTGATGGTTTCTGTCTGGTGATCTCACCTTCAGATTTACCTACC